TATCCGTTTTTTGAACATTTTTGGCGTTATAGTACGGATTCCATTATTTTTGCAAATATAATAAAGCCCATGTTAATCGTCGATAGTGTAGCTTTCCAACAGTGAAAGAATCCATTAAATCGGTCCAGTAGATTCGGAGCGTTTTTAAATCCAAACAAACCAACAAACAAACATACAAACAAACAAACAATCAAATCTTTCTTCTTTATAATATTAGATAGATATAAGTATTTTTAAATGCCACTTAGTACTCGAAGCCTGATTTAAGTCTCTACTAAACTTATCAAATGTTATAGAATTTTCGAAAGTTGCAACTGACATATTTTTAATGAAATGCAAATCTCCCACTAGGTATGGTTTTAAAAGAACAAATAATAACTTGAAATGCCTCCTATAGGGATTTTGCAGATTTCTACGGCAAATGCAGCTCAGACTCTATTATATCTTAGGGGGAATCTACTGCAAGGGAGGGAAAAGCGCTCCTTCATTAATTAACACACCAGTGATTCGAAAAGCTGCATCTATTCCATTCTAAAGCGATTGCAGTTTGCCTTTCTCTATTTTTGAAGTGTTAGATTTACATTGAAATTCCATGCGATCTCAATAAATATTTACGTCTATCTCAGACGCTTCGACGTGTTGATATTAATGGAATTTCGTGTTTCTGCCCAGCACAAGGGCTGTTTATTTATTTGCGCGTGATATTTAGAGATACATAGTTATAGTATACAGAATGCTATGGGAGTCGTGTGCTTTCGCCCATTCTCACCCGATTAGAGTTACAAAGCGCTGCTCAGGTTGCGCATACGCCCCATTGTTGGAGCTGCGCTTTCCGAAGTCGGTGTTCAACCAAAGTGCAAATGCTGCGAAAAATACACGGCACTCCCGTCGGTGCTCCCTCCCCCAACCGCTCCCACTGCACCATCCTCTTCGGTGTCGGCAACTTCTTCGGCTACGCCTGACCAGTTACGGCTTGACTTTTGCCCGGTGAGGTTCGCTTTTCAGCGGTTCGAACTCGAGAAATTCGTTTCATAGTCTGTAGCTTCTTCTTCATCGGCTTTATTTTATTGTCTCTTCTCATTTATATTCTTATTGTGATTGTGCTTGTTGTTGGCATTGCCGTTGGTGCGAAATCAAATGCTGTCGTCTGTCAAGTGTTAATTGGCAGGTGTGCCATCGCTGTTGTTATTGCTGGTATTGTTGTTGTTGTTGTTACTATTGTCTATTCTCAATTCTTATTAATAATAAAGCGAAGGAGGCTCCAAAAATGCGACTTGCCGCTCGATGTAGGGAAAGAAAAAAGAGCAACACGTGCACATCCGACCAGCATCAAGCTGCATCGACCTCCATCTAAGCTTATCAAGCGCATGCGACTATCTCGTGATTCTCGTGACTCTCGCTAGCAAATGCCGCAAGCAAACGTTATCTGCGGCACGTCGATGCTAACATACCCTTGCAAATCTCAAACAACTGGGGGAGATTCAATTAAAAGCTTCCCTGAACGATTAATGCTGATAGATGGCGACTATACATATACGTGCTAGAAACTATCTTAGAAACCTATGGACTCTACGGAAATTGTAAGCTCAATGCTTAGGTAAGATAGTTAGGTTGAGGCTCAAGCGATATACGATGGCTAGCTCTAGCGAGGATTACTCATATGCAGAGCTATTGAAGGATCGTGTTCTCTTCTTTGTCAGCCTAACAGTTGCTTGGATTATTAAATAGTTTTATCTCGACAATCATTATCGTCATTTCATTGCCATAATCATGAGTATGTTAATGAACAAACCATTCGTTCATAGTCGGCAGTAAGTCGCTGGCAGGTATGAACGAATCTCGTACTACTCGTATAACAACAGCACTGCAAAAAGTTGACAAAGTATATAAGAAAAGGCAATTGTAATATTTTCTAAGAAAATTATGTCATAGAATATGTGCGATCGATTAGTTTTCGAATCAGTTATGCCTATGGCAGCCATATGGTGAAGTGATCCGTTATATTCTGATATATTCCAGCCTAAACCAAGAACAAGTCTTCCATCGAAAGCTTTGAAATTGATGAATGGACAGATGGACATCAATTAATCTGCTCCTCATGCTCTCGGGCGTCTATGGTGGGCCTTTGTTAGGGTATATAGAAAATGTAAATGTGTTTGACCGGCTGCTGCATCAGATGATCGTTGCGTGCCGATAGGCTGATGAGCTGATGTGCTGCCGAGCTATGGTTGTTTGTTTTTGTTGTTTTTAACGCTATTTTTATATCCACTGACCGCACGGCTTCAACATATAGTCAGTAATTAATTGGTTAGCTGCCTCTCTAATTAGTGAGTATAATGCCTCTGTGTGTTTAATTAACATTTTCAGGCTTGGTGTCACATTAATGCAGTTCGTATTGTGCATCAAGTATACGCCCCAATGGTCGACAATTAGATCGTACAAAGTGGCAGATAAACATTCAGTTTGCTGTTATCTAATTGCCTCGTAAATGTTTATATGCAGCTCATTAAAGCCAGCAACAGCAAAATATAGGAGAGGGGGGAAAACAGAACAGAACCAAAAAATTCCGAGAAAATGGAGGAATATGGAGGACTCCAAGGAAAATGCCACAAAACGAAACACAATATTTGAACTAAATACAAAAAAGAATACAGGGAATGCAATTTAACAAAACCTTTCAAAGCCTTTTCTGGCATTGTGCCTCGAATTATTAACTTAATTGTTACAGCCGGTCCTGATGTGTCCCTGATCTGTGCTGAGAGCGCATTTGCCAAAATCATGAATGCTTCAAAAGTACATTTCTCAGCGTCAATTCAATTTAAATTGCAATCAACATTTTATGGCACATGGCTTTTTATTTCTTAAACCCTTATTTTTGTGCTCGCACACATCGTGTTTATTACATTTTTGCCATAATTTGGGTTTTTTATATCAAAGCCAAATAGCACGTAAAACGCTCAACAATAGACAAAACACATAATAATAATAACCACAACAACAATAGAAAAAGCAATTAATATCAATAAACTTATTTAAAAAAACAAAGGTTATAAGAAACAAAAAGTGAAAAGTGAAACGATAAGACAACAAACAACATGCGTTTAGTCTACGATCTGCTGCTTAGCAGCACCTTCGAAACCAGGTAAATGTCAAAGCTATACATACTTGTATGCGAGGGCTGAATGAAAGGTTTGTGACTAATGTAGAGCAGTTCTACTCCAACTCGCTCCATTCTACACAACTCAACAGTACTCTACTTGACTTCAATCAACTCCAATCTACTCCACACTCTACTCTATCAGATCAGAATATACTGTCGGCTGTCTTGAGAAACATAAGTAGCATTTTCTCCATTGACTACCCACTAGGAAGAGTAGGTAGAAATATTAGTTATACCCCGAATAGTTGCTAGGCACTACAATCTGTTTCCAAATCCTGAAATACAGTTCGACAATGGTAGTCAACTTTACAATCGGCCCTCGTCTGCCTATATAATACTTATATTGTATTGGCAATGTTTGGCAGTTGCTGGGGCCTTACGGTATCGCATCGTGCCAAGCCACAGTTGATGCGAACAAACAATTTTATCGCATTTTACTTTTATTTATTATTTTTTGTTTTGTAATGGAATGCTAACGAATGTTAATTGAAGTTTAATCAAATATGCAAAGCATCGAATTCGTTGTATTTGAATGCAAATGCAAATATTTGGTTACTCCATGACGCACATTCTTAAATGGGCAGCTGTGTGCAAGTGCCACACTACTTGCAGAATACATACATATTTGCATACATACATATATAGATTCATATATGCATACATATTTTCCAAAAAGAAAATATTACACTTTAAGAAATTAGCAGTAGGATTTAATATTTCAAAAATATGTTCTACATTAAGGCTTTTTTAAATTGAATTCCTTCAAAGAATTGCTAAAATGTGATATTACACTTTAAGAAATTATCAGTAGGATTTAATATTTCAAAAATATGTTCTACATTAAGGCTTTTTTAAATTGAATTCCTTCAATACATGCCTCTGTTCAGAAAGCATCCAAAATCTTCGCAATCAACTTTTATTGAAAGAATTACTAAAATGTGATATTACACTTTAAGAAATTAGCAGTAGGATTTAATATTTCAAAAATATGTTCTACATTAAGGCTTTTTTAAATTGAATTCCTTCAAAGAATTGCTAAAATGTGATATTACACTTTAAGAAATTAGCAGTAGGATTTAATATTTCAAAAATATGTTCTACATTAAGGCTTTTTTAAATTGAATTCCTTCAAAGAATTGCTAAAATGTGATATTACACTTTAAGAAATTATCAGTAAGATTTAATATTTCAAAAATATGTTCTACATTAAGGCTTTTTTAAATTGAATTCCTTCAATACATGCCTCTGTTCAGAAAGCATCCAAAATCTTCGCAATCAACTTTTATTGAAAGAATTACTAAAATGTGATATTACACTTTAAGAAATTAGCAGTAGGATTTAATATTTCAAAAATATGTTCTACATTAAGGCTTTTTTAAATTGAATTCCTTCAAAGAATTGCTAAAATGTGATATTACACTTTAAGAAATTATCAGTAAGATTTAATATTTCAAAAATATGTTCTACATTAAGGCTTTTTTAAATTGAATTCCTTCAATATAGTACATGCTTCTGTTCAGAAAGCATCCAAAATCTTCGCAATCAACTTTTATTGAAAGAATTACTAAAATGTGATGATCAGATAAACATCATTTTCTTAATCTACTACTAACATGGACCGAATCTTTATAGAGTATATCCCACCCGGTTGGGAAAGAATAGTTAGACTGTCTGGTTAGTTAAACTCCAGCTAGAGAGCTTGAGGAAACGGAAGACAGATTTCGAGACCATTTTCAGTGGTGAGAAAATTTAACCTAAACGGGCAGAGGAATCCCCGTTACAGATATAAGCTAATAAAGCTAATAAACAATAATAGGAATTCCATCTTTCTTCGTTATAGAATGGTGCTCCAGAATCACAATACAGTCGTGGCCCGCTCGACGCTGACCCCAAACAGCAGCAGCCAGAACTTCGGTTCGTCGCACAATGCACTGCGCGGCATTGGCCCGCAACGGACTGCCAGCAACCAGCGTCCCATTATCGATCTGTTGGTGGCCATGGTGGCGATACCAATCCTCATACTGTGCGCCCTGCAGCTGGAGAAGAATCTGCACGATATACCAAATAGTCCGCAGTCGCGTTGGCTGGTCTTTGCCCTCGGCATTGGGATGCTGGTGATTAGCGTCATTATCTGTGGCTATGTGACGCATCGCATGGGCGTGTGCATCTGGGCGGGACCGATCGACGAGGCCGGAAATCGTGTCACCGGCGGTAGCTTGCCACATGTGAGTGTAGAAATTAATTATTTATTCATGTCGAAACCTTGGTCAGGGTTCCGGGTTTTCTTTAGGCAACTACACTCAAACGAAACAAAAGTAATTTCATTGTAAAAGGAAGTACGAACAGAGTCTATAGTTGGAAAAGTCTTTTGTTTAATAAAAGTTTGCGATAATACTAAGTAGGCCGAGTGTAAGCGACAAATATACATATTACATACATACTCTTATGTAGCAGGCAGATGGAGGCATGCCAGACCCCATGATATATAATAATATAGTATTATGTATATAATTAATAATATATGCAAAATTTATTATTTTATTTATTAATTTTTATAGGCAAAACACGATTTTTTAATAAAATAGTTGTTGGAATGAGCATGGCTGTAATACAAACGATTGGTATTTGTGAGATTTTTTCAATGCACCACCACAATCTGAAGTATAATAGATTATCATACTCGCATATCTGGCATAGCAACGATTGGTGGAAGATACAGGGTATACATAAGTCGAACTCGCACTACTCTTATATTGATTGTTTTTATACCCTGTACCCGTAGGGTAAAAAGGGTATATTAGGTTTGTGCAAAGTATGTAACATGCAGAAGGAAGCATCTCCGACCCCATAAAGTATATATATTCTGAATCAGCATGACGAGAGAAATCGATCTTGACATGTCCGTCCGTCCGTCTGTCCGTCCGTGCGTCTGTCCGTCCGTCTGGATGAACGCAAGGATCTCAGAAACTATAAAAGCTAGAATAACCAAAGTTGGCATCCAGATTCTCCTAGGTCCGAGAAAGGACGAGTTTATTTTATTTTTTTGAATTTTCCCCCCTTCCCCCGCTACAGAATTTCATCAATAGCGTCCACATTTCAAATGCTACCTAAACCAACCTTTGCACACATCATATATATATATATAATTATCTACTGTTGTTTTTGTTTTGTTTATTTAATTCGGTCAATTCTAAGAAAAGTTATTAGCGAAATAAATTCTCGCCAGTATGCAGCAACAAGTTCGCTCTTCTTCTTCCTCTTTTTGCTGCTGCTTTGGGCGCATATAACTCAGTGACGGAAGTTTACCTGGGTACAGGGTATTCCACTGTCGGGCTTCCTCGACTGTAGCGTTCTCTCTTGTTAATTTTATTTATTTATTTATTATATTATTATATATTCATATTTGTTTATTCATTGGAGAACCGTTTTCAAAGCTAGTTTTACTTTTCTTTCAATTTTAAAAAATGAAGAAATGCATAACCACTTGGGAACTCCAATCAATTGTCGTCTCTTTTTATACCCTGTACCCAGGGGGTAAAAGGGTATATTAGTTTTGTGCGAGTGTATGTAACACACAAAAGGAGGCGTGACAGACCCCACAAAGTATATACATATATTATTGATCAGGATGACAAGTCGAGTCGATATAGCCATGACTGACTGTCCGTCCGTCTGTATGAACGCAAGGATCTCAGCAAGTACGAGAGCAAGAGTAACCAAACTTAGTATCCAGATTCTCCCGTAATTTTTGATTGTTTTTAATTATTTTTGGTTTATATATGCATATTTGTTTATTTATTGGATAACCGTTTTTAGTTTTGTTATTAAAAATACTGATATTTTTCTTTCAATTTCTCTTTTCAATAAACAAATGCATACCCATTTGGGAACTCTAATCAATTTCGTTTCTATTTTGCATTTAGGATTGAGATTAAGTACAAAATCGGCTGAAATCATGTTCAACTTTTCTTGAGTATAGTTATGATCTTCAATTTTGAGAATGAGCTTTAAGTAATTGTTATATCAATATAACTCCCGCCCTCGTTGCAGATCAACTCACAGAACGATGTGCTGCGCATTGTGGACTCGATGCCTCCCAGCTACGATAGCGTCGTGAAGTTCGAGCTGCCGCCGCCTCCCTACGACTGCATTGTCGTGGACATGGAGCAGGGCAAGGATCTGCGACCGGAGACATCGGCCAAGGGTGCTGGAGTCTCGGCTGCCCACACCACACTGCACATCTAGGCAGATCCGAGATAGCTAGGACGAGATGGGGACGCTTTTGGTTCGAGGAGAGAGAATAAAAGAGATTTTCATTTGGAATGGACTTGACCCACGTTGGCGATCGAAATGAAGAGCTCGATCGATCGGCTGCTGCGGCTGGCAACTTCTAGGCCCAGTTCCTAGCCACATACTACCCAGCATGGCCAGCAGCGAATTGTAGATAGCGCAGGCTATAGCCTTGTATTTACTTAAATTTAAGCGCCTAGTATTGTAATTGTAAAGTTTTTTTTATTGTTTTTCCTTTGAGTTGCCTTTTTCGTTTCGTTCGGTATTTTTTAGACATTTACTATATTTTTTGTAATATTGTGGCCCACACGCACAAGCTTTGTAAATAATATATACGTATACCTATTCCTGAACCGCATCTAGTCCAAAGTACATTAAAACCGAAGCAAAAACAAAGCTGAATTGATTTACTTAAACGCAAAAAAAGAAAGAAAGAAGGAATCATGTGTGTGTGTGTGTGTGCGGCCCAGGACGGTGCGAATCAGATCAGTGTTACCTACAATATGATACATATACAAAGGTATAATTAGTTATATACTCGTATTTGCGTGCATACTAGTTTATAAAACGACAGACGACGACGACGGAACGCATTCTAAATGTATATAGAATTGTATTTATATTTGTATACAACTAAATCAAAAAACAACTACAGCAAAAAAAAGAGTTGTCTTCATAAACAATACCAATTCAATGAAATGTCAAACGTTCAGTTCGCTTTCCAAAATAAAGAATTCCTATTTAATATTATCGGCGAATGTACTCGTACTTATCTATTTCACAACGAAGGTATGGCACTGGTTTGTGTTTCTTTTCAATTAGCCAACTTTTTTTTAGCAAGACGACAATCTAAGTTGCCGCCACGTGCCGTTTTAGCAAAATTAACTAGATCTGTAATGAAGTATACAAGTAGCATAGTATCCCATTTTTTCAAAAACTGTGAAACCTATTCCAATAATGGCAGGGATTTCTGAGCCCTGTACCCTGTACCCGGGCGGTAAATCGATTTTGAAACAAGAAGATGTAGAATCATTGTACCTCACTATATACTTGTATATATATTTCGAGCCTGGCTCATTTATATTTTAGGACTTTTAGCGATGGTGGCCACAGGACATACTATACATAGTGGAAGTCGTATCCTTCATCTCATCAAATTATTCTAGTCGTTAAACAAATTTTGGTAACTTTAAATTTCCATTTTTTGACTAAATATAGTATTTGTAGGAACAGTAGAAATAGCAGTCTAACCAAAAAGTAGACAGCCAGCGTTCCTACTATCTGATCGAATAATCGTATACCCTATGTTCAATCAGGGACTCCCAACTATACTGATACTATGTCCTGATAAAGAAACATGAAAATACCAATAATATAACAAATATTTTCAATATTTTATTTAATTCGTAATATACCAAATAGACGTATATTTATAGCCATTAAATGGTTTGTCGAACTAGCTTCAGTTTTTGGGGCCCTCCTGTCTAGTTTGGCAACTAACCCAAATTCTATCCTGATTCCGCTTGGCGCGGAGGATTTTCATTCTTCCAATTCCAACCAGCTGGTAAGTCCGTGTCCTGATTGAACATTCGCAATCACTAGAAATGTTGCAAGCTGGCTTTTTGTTTTATTTGCTCACAAAATCAAATCAAATCTATTCTTGTACACCAAATTAAATAATTCTCCAGTTGTCTTTTTTTTGTGTCGTAAACATAACATATATAGACATATATTTATTTATATATATAGGGTGTAAGTTATATTGATAAAGTAAAGATGATTTGACTAAGTTAGTGTGTGCCTGCTGCTGCTTGCACTGCTGGCTGCTCGTGTTTCGATGGGGATGTGGAAATGAATGTGTATGATGGATGTACAGTATATACGTATCTGAACGATCTGAGAGTAAACTTAATACAAGTGTTACTAAGCTTACTGTAGCTAAACAAGATTACCAACAATGTGCCAACTTATACATGCTTGCCAGTTCGCTTTATGCTGCTTATGCTGTAGACACTAATTTACAAACAAAATATGCGGTATACGCTATGCTGCTGGCATTTTAAACAATCAAAGCAATGCTCCACATTCTGAATGATGCGAGCTGCCATCGCACAATATATAGGTATATATATAGAGAGAGAGGTATATATATATACATACATGGGACAATTGTCCAATAGATTTATGTAGTAATGAAAACAAATAAAAAAAAAATTTCACCTACATTTAATTTAACGCAAAAACAAAATTTGTAAAGTAAAAACGGCTTCTTTAAAAACAATAATATTTAGCATAATAGATAAAATATTTAACAAGGTGTGTGGACGAACAAAAATATTCGGGAGTGTTGTGATTGTGCATCGTTTGGGTCGTGTTCGGGATTGGGTGTCTGCGGGATCACATACATGTATGTTTATTCGAAGTTGTGCCATCTACAAACTATATGCATATAAACTAGGGGGCCATTCTTCTGTTTACTTCCTCACACATTGTCTTCGGTTTGTGGCCGTTCTATCGGTTCGCTCTTCAAAAATTATTAACAAGTTTCCTTCTGATGATACATATATATAAATATATATAAATATATATAAAACAACGTACATAATTGTAGTAGAGTTGGATTTGGTATGTTATATGTATATGGATGGTGTGTGTGTGTGGGTGTGGGTGCGTGTGTGTGTGTGTTAAGGCGCAGAATTAGAAGTAAAATGCCAGACGTATAAATATGCTCTCCTAACTTTAGTATGTAGTAATAATCACATTGACTGCAACTGCCGTCTCTATCATCGCCATCAACGCCATCATTATCATCGCCATCCTCCTCATATTTGTGGTTACATATTGCGGACTAAATGTGATGCCATTGTGTTACTGCGACATTCGCATTTTCGTTGAGCCGGGCGATCTCCTCGTGTAGATTATGGCCCAGCCATTGCAAGTAGATGCGCTTGTAGGCAGCCTTGCACAGTCGCAATGGATTACCGCGTCTCAGCCCCTGATCTGTCTCGCCGTATTCATCCAGATATGGCGGTTGAACAAAGCAGCCCTTCCCACGACCCAAATAAACGACTTGGCAGTCGCGTATGCGCAAGAAAATGCCAACCTCGGAGCCACAGGAGTGCGCATGATAGGTGCATGCGCCCACTGTCATCTTTCCAAGCTCCGGCTGACAGCAATATGATTGACCGCACAGGATTTTGCCACAGATTAGACACATTGTGGGTGTTTTCATCTCCTCGCGCTCATTGTTGGGACAGCAGATGTCCGAGACGCTGTTGATGAGATCACTGTAGTCTTCGTACAGATTGACGAGTTGCGGCAGCGGTGGCAGGCATGGGTGCACCTTAAGCTGCGGTCGCCAGTCCCGCGGAAAATTAATGTTCACAATGTCCGGATGTGAGGCAAAATTATCCAACATGGTGGCATAAACGGTCTCCATATCGAAGTAGGCACCCAGCTGCGGCTCAAGTCCCAAATAGGCGCACATTAGATCAAAGCGATCCTTTCCCTCGGTGGGGAACGTGTCGGGAAAGTCAATGTCGGTCATGCACCGATAAAAGAGGCAAGAGCAGCGCAGAAAGGCGGACATCTGTTTCTGTACATACTCGAAGAGCAGCGCAATGTGCTTCAGTTCGCAGGGAATCACAATGTTGGGCAAACGCTCCATTTCCACCTCACTTTTGCCCTCGGATTCTGCTTGCGTGCGTTGCCGTTCAGTCGCCTCGTGCTGCGCAATACGTGCCGGCAGATTATACTTGCGATAGAAGGTGATAATGTTATCATGGATTTTAATGGGCAACTGTTTCACATACTGCAGCATTTTGCTGCTCGGTTGCTGATGTTGCTGCTCCGCCATTGGATCGTCCTCCTCCTGCTGAGCACCGGCTTCAGCGCTATAGTCAAAGCAAATGGTGGCTTTGGTAAGATTTGCCATAAAGCAGGTCTGTAGTGTGTAGAAATCGAACATGCTGCCACTGGGTATAATAGTTTTGTTTGCTATCGGGGCAGGAAGAGAAGAGGTTAGTTAGTTAACTGATAGAAATTGACATTGGAATGGTTACTCACTATCTGCCGCAATCAATAAGCCGGGAATCATGAAATTCATGGTCACCATCATCGGAAAACAGTCCCATTCGAGCACAGAGGGTCCCTTCTGATTGAAGAGCGTGTCCAGCAGCTTGGCGCCATCTTCCACTTGCTCGCGAATCTCGCCATGCGACAGATTGGAGGCGAAGAGGGCGCTAGCACGCACCAAATTAATGGTACAGGCCTGATGACGCATCGGCATCTCAGCCTTGAGCGGCCTATTGGTGGCATACAAATAGGTTTCTAGTGACTGCAGCGTGTAGCTGCACGTTTCCCACAAAATGGATACCGATGGGGTACCCCGACCGGTCAGCAAATGTTTAGTGTTGACCTGTGCTTTAATGAAGGCGCTCATCACCTCATCCCAGTTCTCGTTCATCGCCGGCTTCGGGATGATTTGGGCACTGCGCTCGAGCTGTGTGACATCGCCAATAACATTGGATTTGCGCAGAATGCTGCTGTACCGTGGATAAGAGCCATAGAGGAGCATATCATCTTCCTCCATGCTGCTCGCCAGCACACTAGCCAATTCGACGGACAAAGTGCGCATTATCTCCAAAAAACAGTCCAGAGGCAGCATGCTCTGCTCTCCATTTGCCGGTGGTGCGGGAGCGGGTGAGAATTGGGGCAATGCCTCGCTTACGGGCAGGACCGTGTTGCTCAAAGTGCGACAATAGGGGCAATGGAACTCAACGAACGGACTCTGACCGAAGGGCATGCGACTACGATGCGGGCGTCGCTGTTCCTTTGACTCTTCATTGCTATAATACTCCTGCCAGCAGTTGTAGTGCATAACGTGACCGCAGCAGCTGACGTGCAGAGCCGATTTTTTGCCTTCATCCTTCAGCGGCGTGTAGATAACTCGCGAGGTCTGCAGGAAGGCAGAGCTGACAAGCGGTGGACCTTTTGTAGTGATGCTGCAATCCTCAAAACAAAGTATGCACTTAAACGAATTTTCGCCAGGCTGATAGGCAGTTCGTTCACTGCCTAGACAGGACTTTGTTTTGCTTGGCGTATTACCAATGGCGCCCTCTTCAGCCTCCTCCCAGTCCATATCGTTGCCACTCTCGGTGCGCTTGCCATCCGATGAGGATGCCTTTTCACTCGCAAACATGTCCGCATTGGACTTCATGAACGAATTCCGCGCACTCTGCATCTGCGCCATAATCTTGGCCCGTCGCTCGGCAGCCAAGCGGGCACGCGTCTCCTTCTCCAGACGCGCTTGCTCCTCGGAAGACAAAGGCGGCTCTTCTCCTTGTAGCGGCTCTTGCGAATCGGCAGCTGCCAAGGGCGCTTGCTTTGCCTGCAACTCCTTATAGCGCTTAATCGTCCACAGCACAAAGTCACGGTGTGATTCCAGCTGCAAAACAAACATTGAACGATTAAACGATAGAATACCACGCCTTTCCCTCTCTGATAACGAATGGAAATATATATATATACATATATATCTCTGAAGACTTACCCGCTGGCAACGTAACAGCTCCTCCAATTTGTCCAAAATGCCGAACTGTACAGAACGCTCGTAGAATGTTAGGAAGGGATAGTGTTCTGTGAGCTCCTCCTGAATAGCAAAGCCCAATAGATGCAGCACCTACGCATAAGATGGACGACAAAAAATAGGAATTAAGAAGGGTGCTTTTAGGCAGTAGTAGGGCGACTTACCTTCTGGAGATGGCTCTCAGCGAAGGAGCGACTGTGCGGATTAATAGCGCGACGCATAACTAACGTGCAAATGGCTAAGAACACATTGCACTGTAGAATGTTGGCCATAGATCTGACAGAGACAGAGAGAGGGGGTGTTGAATGAGTAAGAGTGTGAGAGAATGATGTGTGATGAATTTAGTGATCGGGTACTTACTTAAAAGCTGGTGTCAATTGAGGCAACATGGGCGGTGGGCAGCAAACCAACTGCTTCTTGGCCTTACGGCGCTCGCGCTGCATCTCCTCGGCCTTAGATTTGTCCTCCTTTGTGTAGTGATAGAAATAGACGTTGAATTCGTCATACAAGTGCTCTTTCAGCTCGTAAACTCCCTTGCTCTCGACGCTGGCGGGCTTTTTGAAAACGGCCACCGTATTGATGACATCTTCAAGTATGCTGTCGCTATTGCCATTATTGTCGGGCAGGGAACGACTCAGCTCCGAGTGGGAATATGATTTGATGCACAGCAACTGAATGATCTCTTTACGCAGACGATCTCCTTCAGTGACGAGCGAGACGCCCGGCATCCAACGCTCGCCAATGATCACTATCAAGAGCTCTAGGAATTCATCGATCATCGACAGCTGACGCATGAACTCCTCATCGATGGGCCCTTCGGCGAGCACCGCCTCATAATTCGATAGAGCCCATGGCACCATGTTGAATTTGTTGAGCATGTGAATGAGGAACTCGTTACTCTCCATAAGCGACGCGCCGATCTGCAGGCAGACAATATCACGATCGAGCATCTCCACACGGCACCGCACATTGCGATAGAAGTAGAGCTGATGCAGCAGTGAGTATCCATTGCGACGCCACATTCCTGCCGCCACCTGGGCGATCATCGCCTGTGTGCACAGCACCGGCTCGATGATCTCCTGCGGCGTTAGCTGAAAGCTATCATCCTCGGCTGCCATGGAGTCGTAAGTCATATCATGATTACCCAGATGTAGGTATATGCCTGCGTAGAAGCGAGACAGCGGCAGATGAATGGAGACCGGTCGCACCGAAACATCGTACATCAGGCAGTTGGCCACGTGGCCAGCAACTGTCTTCGCCTCCTCCTTTTCGCTGCCAACGATGAAGGTACTATTCACCAAATTTCGCACCGTCTTCTTGTACAGCTTTTTCAAGAGCTTGGCATCACTGGCCGCCCATTCGATGACCTGAGATATTGTTGTGGCAAGCTTGATGTGGAGATTGAAGGCGCATTCCCATTCCGGTTCGTAGTCCATGTGCTGACCCGTCTGGCGTGTGATCGATTCCATGCCTTGCATAACGGACAGCACACGCATTAACGCCTTACAGCCTATGGGGAAAGAGGGTTTGGGTTAAGGTTGTGAAGGGCCAATACTTCAGGGCAAGGAGCTGCTTACCTTCGAGGAAGCCATTGCGCAGATCGTTGCTTAGCTTATCGGGCTTAAAACTGAGCAGGTAGCGTAGATCGTAGAGAATATAGTTGGCGCGTTTGAAGTACGCCATGTTTGCGATATTCTTTGAGAAATGCAGCGTGCGATTGTGTATGAATTTCTCGATGGCCACGTGATAAAATGTATGCAACAGTTTGAAGAAGATGCCCTCCTGGGCGATCAGATGATGCGCAATGCTGGGCACCGTAAACAGTTGTACGCTCAATGAGACGACAGAGAAGCTGTGATCGTGATCATCGCTAATAAAGTCCTCGACAATGGTGGCGTAGCGACGCGAGAATTCTTGCGCCAACACCATCTTATTTTCATACTCCATCAGCATGCCGGAAATGAGCAGACGGTGCCAACAGGTTCGGGCCGTTTTCCATAGCTTAACGTCGTACTCGAGTATGTGCCGGATGCAGAAGGTCTCGTTCTTGTCCTGTACCAGCGTGGAGAACGTCTTCCTGAAGAGGTAGTGACGCACGAGGAACTCCTGAAACCAGGTGAGCAGCTGCAGAGCAAATTGCTGGCAGGCTATCGAATTAATATGCAGCACCGAGGTGCGCAACGATTGACTAGTGCGAGAGTTGGCCAGGAGACCGCTAAGCGGGATCATTTGATTCTCGATGGCTACCTTGAGGTCGTTGCACTCTTTAAACGTATCACATTTGACAACGGCGCGACCCTCGCGATCAATGGCCGCAACTATTTCCATCGCATCCTTGTGCCTGCACTTCGCGATCTTTGTCAGCGTCTGTATGACCTGATCGAAGGTGTGTGACTCATCATTATAGAGCACTGTGCAAAAATGCTCGCCATCCACCTCCCCTTCGAGACATTGCAGACTCGCGTTCGGCTCAATCTCCAGATAGTTGACGCAGAACGCCAATATGGCACCGAAGCAAATTTCGCAGCGCTCCAGAACAGTATCTGTAATCACTTTGCTTTCGAGGGGATTCTTCCGATTGGCCTGTGCAAAGGATTAGAATATGAATCAGAAACAGAAACAGATTTAGAACCTATCAAAAGATTTGATCTGGTGAACGGACTGGCTTACCAAATGCATCTCGCAGTACTGATCCCGTTTCCAGGCCTCATCATCGCCACAGTCACAGCAGCCACCTCCACCCGATGTGGACATTTTATACTTGTGGAAGCGATGCGCGGATCGCTTGAAGCAATTAACGCACAGCACGCAAGTGGGATCAACGCCGCACTCCCGGCAGCTGTAGGTGGGCTCGCCATTCTTGAATACCTTGCCGCAAACCGTGGCCGTGTTGCCTTCGAGACGAAGCTTCTCCAGAGCTGTCGTCGGATTGTCGCCCAATATGAACTCGACCAGCACATCAATAATCTCCTCCTTGGCCAGGTTCTCCTTGAACATGCACTTCACTGCAAAGTGCGGTTAGGTTGCTGATTAAAAATTGCAGTTGTGGGGATAGCAGTTTAGCTCAAGGGTTCGGGTTAGCAAGTTAAAATGTCTACCGTCTACATCTACCACTACTAGAACGGACGACTACTAAAAGAAACTATGTATATGGCATCAAGGACAACTGTAGTAAAACAGAAAAAGGATGAGAGTCTGCTGGTGGGCTCGAGCTTGACCATAACGCCAACTTACGCGAACCGTGAGTTACACCTTGTTTGGTCTCCTGCAAGCGCTTGATCTCTTGCAATATGTTCACGTTCTTTGTGCGTCTTCTGAGCAGCTCGTTAAAAAGCATGAGATCTGAATTCCACAACAAATCCTCGCTCGAGGAGTGTGGTTCCTCCTGCTTACTAGGATCACTCATGCCCGTTGATTGAAGTTGAATACATGCGGGGTTTGGGGTAAGGTTAATTTTAGGTTAATTTCAATTATGGTGGTTGCGTAATTATGTTTAATGTCATCTATAAATGTATAATTATTGATTTTAATAATGATTTGAGATACTTTAAAATTGATGCAGACTCAAGCTTAAGAATATATAAGGCAGGCACTTAATCAAGCAATCGCACGATCATTGACTAACACAGCCTAACCGGCAACTCTACTTACAAGTTGGTGCATTTGTGTCTGTAAGAAAACAAAAAAGAACAGAAACAAAAATCAACTTAAGATAACAGACATACTTAATGTTAAGATTAAAAATAAAACACATAAAACAACCACCAAACAACACGAATTTATCAAATAAAGTAAAGATCCCCACCCTAATATTATAATTCTATTAAAAATGAAAGTCCACCTTCATAAGAAAAGAAGAAGGGTCTGATCTCTAAAATGCAAGCAACAGAAAGAAGGGTGAGTGTCAGCCAGTCTTCCCACTCACTCATTCACACAAAATCGTTCCAAAACTTGTTCTAAAATAATATTACGTAAATATTTTTCTTAAACCTGTTTAAAATTCTGTAGGGAAAGGATGATTCTTTACTGGTCATTGCGAAAAGCCCTTTCAGATGATGTTTGAGTTATACTTATGTATAGGGGTGTTCAAAGTTTTAGGGAGAGTACCATTTTTTCCAGAAACAATAGTAAAGCAGGGTTATTCCAATTGTAAATCGATCCATATGTATACCAAAAAGGTGTTCAACATTTGCTTGAAAGCCTCTTATTTCATTCAAAATACACCTGATTCCAATAATACCTATGAAAATACCTTAACTTTTTGATAATCTTGTGGCTGTCAAATTTAACAGTCAAAAACAGCAGACCCCCCACATTCTTGCAAAGTAAAAATTAAAAAAGAAAACTTTTCTTGTCGCAGAAAAAAACCGTTTTTTTCCAAATAATAAAGTCCCCGATGTTACATGAATTCGACAGATATTTATGGAAATTTCTCTGGCACCCACTACAGACTTTTCCGATAAATGCTAAATGTGTGTTTAAGAGTCTTCAATCCAACCCAGCATCCAGAGATGTCAAATGATTGTGAAACTATGGATGATGATCTTTACTGCCACAATCGGTAAACAGCTAGCTTATGACGTTTCAATATATGTATATGTACATACAAGTACATACGAGCACATATGATAGATAATATATGTATGTATGTATGTGTGTTTGCACGCGAGTAGTCAAATGGAAGTCGCTGGAAATGTAGATATAGCAGCATCTGATGCCAATCCAGAGCCAAAGTTTATTCAATACACAAAACACATATACTCGAGTATATTGTATGTATGTATATAAGCTACATATGATTGCACCATCTGTAGCTCATACGTGTACATATGTGTGTGTGTGCATTAGTGTGTGCGGTGTATACATACATACATACATACATATGTACGAGTATGTTTGCATGTCAGGCAAAGTGATTACACAAACAGCTCGAGCAGATGCTCCCCATCATTATCACCATCACCATCATCGTCATCGTCAGTCATCATCATCATCATCATCATCATTAGCATTGGCATTATCAGCAGCTACCGCAACAGCAACTGTGGCGTATGAGTAATTTTATTTGGGAACAGGTTAGGGTTAGGCGCAAACCAAAAACCAAAAACAAACACACACACAAACATTCTAGTGATCCGAATTGACATTTGTATTAAAGAACAACAAAGGCGTTTCATAGCTAACCAAAACATGATAATGACGTGAGCGCAAGTATGTGAAGCCACTTTTCAACCGCAGCTTCGTAATCCGAGCCCAGAGCCAACCAAGAAATACAAAGTTATAGAGCTAGACACATGCTATACGAGTATACATGCATACATACATATGTACATATGTATTACACTTGTAGATTTGAATAGACCTTCGTGTGGCAAATGAGTTAACTTGGTCGAGTTTTGAGGCAATTAGAAACGAGTTTGGCGACCGAGTCCAACCGCAACACAATTCAACAAACAACAACAAATACCATAAAAAAAAAAACTAACCTACAACACAAAACAACCACAAGCACACATTTAAATACAGTTCAAGGTCGGTAGATAGGAGGGGGAGGCACGTACATATGTATGTATGTAAGTAAGTATGTACATATGTATGTATGTAGGTCTGTCTTGTTGCTGTCGCTTTCGATTGTATAGAAAACGAAGTGAAAAACAAAATTCAAATACGGCGCCACCAATTGCTGAAATAGTTTTAATATGCGATCGACGAAGAGAGAGCGAAAGAGAGAGAGAGAGAGTAAGGGGAAGCGATAGAGCATTACAAGTTTGCTCTCATATTGATCGGATTATCGGTCAACTTATACATATTTATGCAAACATATCAGAAATTGATGCGAAAGACCAAATTGTCTTACAAATTGTGACTCCAAAAATAACGACGTTTCGCATGGATAATACAATTCATGTTGGAAAGTATAAGAACTAGACTTGGTTTTCATATTCTCCAAAGCCCAAAAAATTCAAGTTTGTCTAATGTGCTCCCTCGCTTCCCCGCTATAAGTCAATTTTCCATAACTCCCTAGGAATTCTTTACATTGGCTGTTATTGTTTTATCGTGGAAGATGATATTATTAAGAAAGTTTTAGTCATAATTGCAATCTTTGCTCGCATATGTTTTGTACAATCTGTTAGTCCCAAAGCAAATAAAGGTTCGAAATCGCCGCCCTAAGATTTCCATAGGAAATATCGTTTTATAAGCACAAAAAATACCGACAATACTGTATAGTCCATACCTATAAACCAACCAACCCACCAATGGATGACTAAGGCGCAATCTGTGGTCTAGAACAAAGAACCTGCATGGAGAATACAGAAAGAACTGGAGTGCCAAGTAAATCTGTTGGCTTAAATTCCATTTATCGCGGGCAGATACCGAACAACAGCCACACTAGCAAATTTCTTACAGACGTGGCCAAAATAATGAGTCCAGTATATAGTATATGCATGTTAATATACACATTTGTAGACATTCCTGGTTGGAACAAAAAAAAAACCCCGATTTCCCATGACACCCTCAACGCATCATATCCAATGACCGGCACAAATTCGTTCTCATATAATGCATGAGTATTCATATATTCTTATGTTATATATATTCATTTTACAAGCGGCACTGTGCATGTGTTGGTGCTCTTATTATATAGTATGCGAGTATATGATACATATACCCACATAAAAAGCGCTTGCAATTTTAGCTTCTGAAAACAACAAAACCAACGAAAAATTACGGAAATGTCATGATTTGTGGTCGGAAGGTGGGCGGACGCATTCGGATGCATGCATGTAGGACACAAGTGGAAAATTTTAATTAAAAATCGGTTCAACTTTCCAGAAATTGCTTTCAACATTATGAAGAAAAAACAGCCCTTATGGCACATTCTGATCTCACCACCTGATTGGTCAATTTATTACTCTATTTATTCAAATATGTATTATCTTTAATAAAGTGTATGATATTTTCTACGCTGGTTTATAATACTTAAGTGGCTTAATAACCTAAAGATACCAGAGGGAACTGTAGTTTTTTTTTTGTAGTATTGGAATTGAGAACAGGTAGAAACAATAAAAATTGAATAAGCTCGTGTTGCATAGAAACTAGAAGTCTACATTCCACGTTTGGTCAGTGTGGGCTCAACCGTTTACAAAATTCAGGGGCTCATACAGACAGACAGACGGACATGTCTGGGGATCTAGAACTTTTTTGGGTCGAAGAGGCTTCCTTCTACCTGTTACATACCCACCAAATCTCTCCACACACACACTAATGCTCTATATTATGTATACAGAGCAGACTGTGTGGAGACAACTAAAAATAAAGTCAACCGCTTATTATCAAATCGTTTTCTTGTATGTTCTAACTGATAGCCACATTTTGACCAAATGCCCTATAAGATGTTATTTCATTAGCAGCTAAATTTTAGTTTGCTGTGACGATTCGGGAAACGTTGCATCCAATCAGACATTACACTTTGACTTATCAATGGCCACACTCCGATTTGCATGCAGTTACACACACACATTCATATTTACACTCGTGCATAATATGTATGGTCTACTATAAATATATGCATATACTATGTGTATGTGTATAGGATTGTAAGAACAGAAAGATAAGCGTCGGCCACTTGTGTTATCAGCAATACCTAGCAAGTCTTGGCAATGATTGTTTTGCCAGCTGGCCTCCTAAATGTTTCGAAACGTAAACTGCTCCCCTCAAAAGCGCCCGACGAATTGTTTACGAGTTGAAAAAACCGAGACCGAGTGTTAAAAGTGTTCTCTTTCCGGTTAGCCGATAACAATGCGTAGAATAAATAGCTTCTGTTGACAGCTAGTAGATGGCTTTAAAATTGAAAACAAACTCGAGGTATTACCTCAAATCCCTTATAAATGAGTAATTCCCAGCCTTGGGCAAATATACTTTGTAGTGTTTTTATTAGGAATATATGTATGTATAATTGAGTATGTGAGGTGGTTATTAAGAACATAGTTTTTTCCTAAAAATAACAAATGGCCGCGTAATGTAGAACGGGAATTATGGGGGTGGTGTTTTAATAATTCGTTCAGTCATAACGCTTGAGCTAATTGCAATTATTGGAAAACTAAGCCAAGCTCTTGACAAGAACTTCCCATGGAATGCAGCAGCAGCCACACAAACAGCGTTGCTGCTGTTGTTATTGTTTTTGCTTCCATAGAAGGTAAAACAGGTAGACGGTGGGTGTGGCGGACAGACTGGTAGATTGATATACTGACGGAATCGTGTGAGTCGTGCACACACAAACTTGTTTTAATGAAAGGAAAAACGAAGCGCGCAAATTTGCGGAAATCGCCGCGTAAGTAAAACCCACTAATATGGCTAAATAAAACGTAACAGCAACAGCTACAAAGTTGTGTGTGAACAAAAGTTATAAGGAAAAAACGAAAACAAAAACTATGTAAAATATTCAATGGCAGCGGGAAACATAACTACGATTAAAACAAAGGCAGCAATCCAAAATATTACTATTTGAAGACCATTACAATTATAATTATTCAAGTTCATGCCCACGCGATCATTTACATAAATTTACATATTTAAATACACAGATTTTGGAACATACATACATATGTAGATACATTTGTATACATACTAGTACGTAATCTTTTCTAGTTTAAGCTCGGCATTATCAATAATAGACCCGTCGTTTTGATCAGAGAGTCTGCTAGCGGTTTCTCTGACTATGCTTTGGGACGTTGAAAACCGATTCCTTGAACTAGACTGACTACACTGTAATTTTTTCGGATTAGGGTCGTGCAATTGTGTGTGGAAGTTTGGATGGCCGCAAGGATGGGCAATAACTATAGATTCATGATTTCCGGCACTCACCTGTTTCGGATTCGTTTTGACACTGAAAAAATTTAGGCGACTGCTTTCTGAAGAAGTCGACGAAGTCGGTGCGTGCCAATGTGCCTGCCTGCAGTTTCAGGCGCCATTCCTTGAGCCTTGAACTGCCATCAAGTTCTGGTGGCGGTGCAACAACAACGTCCTCCATGTCGTAGTGATCCATAATTAGTTTGTGCTGCTCTTCCTATCCTGCAGCTAATTCTGTTCTTCTTCTTCTCACAGTTGAAACAGTTAATGTGGTTGGTAAAGACAATCGTCTCCCAGTATGTTTTGTTATTCTTTGATATCACTGTTGGAAACTGTGCTTTTGGGCCTTGTCTTTCCTCTTGATTATTTTACTTGTTCTGTCCTTGTCTTTTTCCTTGCATGTATTTCATTTGTTTTGTGTAGCTGCTGTTGTTATTGTTGTCGCTGCAATTGTAGTTCCTGTTGTTATTATGATTATTGTTGTCTTATTGTTGTTGTTGTTATTTTTGTTGCGATGCCTGAGAAACTATTCCGGTTTAATATCAAAGTAATAAATAATTTAAACAAAAACTATTAACAAATTTAGGAAACAACGAAAATACGCGGTAGCTTTTAACATTTGTAATTGGCGGTATGTTTCTATAAAATTTTGTACGTTTTTTTTTTGTATTATATTTTTTCCAATTTCATCCAAAATTTGCGCCGTTGGTATAAAAATCTGTTTCTTGTGCTACCTACGTATGTCTTACTCCTAATAATTTCTATTTACAACTATTATGTGGCCATTTTTGTCTGACAACTGCCTGACAACAAATAAAAAGCATTGCTCTTGCTCAGAGGATTTTCGCTCAACATTATTATGGACTTATGTGTGAACATGTGTGTGTGTATGCGTATGTGCGCACTGCCTTGTTTTGCTGATGTGTGTGTGTGTGTGTGTATTAAACAATGAGATGAGTTGCAATTTCTTTTGGCCAAATATTGAAATATGCATGTATTTGTAAATGCAGCAAAGCAGTTTCACAACTGCTGCAACTGTTTCTCAATCGAACAGTTTTGTAACTCTTCATCATATGCTATATTGATGCTTTGAGATTATTTTGCTTAAGTTTTGGCAGGAAAACAAAAACAAAACACACACACAAACGATTGGTGACATGCGACATAGCCCACGACCGTGGGCGAGAGCGAGAGAGTGCGCATTTTATTTGGCCGCCGACTACAGAGACGGAAACGGCATTTAAAATTTTTAATATTAGCTAGGTACTATCACTAGTACATCTGACTGACCAAAAGCAATAAAAAAAAAAAAAACTTTCGTGGCTCAAGTGGAAAAAAACTAGCAGTTTTCAGCATCACCAATAACAACAATAACAAAAGCACAAGCACAAAGAGTACAAATGCAGTTAGCAGCACCAACTGAACTATTTAGACAACGACAGATATTTTGCACACACCACACGGACACATTTATATACGCATGTATATATACATATCTATACATACATATGTATATATAGAGGTATATATATATATACATTTATATATAAATGACTTTATATGTTCACTTTATTATGTATATGTAAATGCACAATAAATATTTTATAGTTTGTTTTGTCGCGATTTCCAAACACTTTATCTTGCCTCCTTCTTGCGTCCGCACAATATTTGCAACTGCTTGGTTTTTGTCTTATATTTTCAATCTATGATATTTTCAATAAAGCGAAACGCTAAAAACGTACTCCCAGCACTCACGAATACGACGACTACTGCCATAAAACGGACGACGTCGACTGCGCACACATGTGCACATAAATATGTATTTGTGTCTTTACATATGTATATACATACATATATGAATGTTCAAATATCGTAAGCAAGAAATTATCAGCGGCTTATAAAAACACCAAATCAAAGTAATAGGGAATTCAGCAACACTCAACATACGATATAATCAAAGCATTTAAATCCAAGTTCACTATTTGTCGTAAGCACTTGAAGCTGGCAATTATATTTTAGGATTGTTTTTTTCCTTCTATTTGCCAATGGTTGCCACCTTTTCATTTATCGATTATAACAGCCGAAAAGAAGCAGAGACACAAGGGATGGCTCCACTGAATCAGTGCTGTCTAACATCACATGCAATCTTTTCACCAAGCCGATAATTTCATTTGAATTTAATAAAATAAAAGAATTTTAGTAAACAAAATTGTAATCATTTTAATTAATTGCTTTTGATACGGCAAATTATTATAGAGTTCAGTGATAATAAAAATATATTTTAGTAGTTCTTTAAAACGGATCTATCGTGCGTTAAATATTCAAGACATCACGATGGTAGGCAGAGATCAGAAATTGATACTTTACGCCTCTAAATTGGTAGGCTGCTGAAAAATGTTACTTCTTTATGGCCTAATACATCTAGATACTTGTATTTATGTGTTACATATTGGATAAAATATTATAACCAACTTTTCACGCATATAGTACGTACATATTTGTATGTACATAATTTGTATAAATTTTTTTTGACTAATTCACCTGAAAATAAAAAAACCTCCTCCAGGAACTTAAACTGCATAGACAAATACAAATCCATAGCACTTTGCAATAAATAGAAGTATACACATGTACATATGTATGTAATATATTTACGCAGAACTTACTTTAAGGCGTTAAAACTGTCTAAACTTGTTAAGTGTGCCAAATAAAACAGAATTTATCGGGCTTAAATAAAGTATACGAACATTCGAATACAAGTCAGGAATTTCTTTTAATTGTGATTTCATGAGGTACTTACAGTTTGTTGCAAATAAAAACATAACTTTTTCAATTAAATATGTTTTTTAGTCGTATTCATAATTTACAGGTATGTACCATTTTTGTGTATAGTGTGGTTTTTATACTCTGTACATGAAAGGTAAGAGTGTATTAGGTTTTCGCGAGCTGAAAAATGTAACAGGCAGAAGAAGGCGTGGCAGACACCACAAACTACATACTATATTCTTGATCAGCATGACAAGACGAGTCGATCTACAAGTATGTCTGTCTGTCTGTCCGTACGAACATCTGGATCTCAGAGACTATAAGAGCTAGGGAAACCAAATTTTAGTCCCAGGTGCCTTATATGAAAATGTGTTTTTTGAAATTTCCATTCCTCCCCCGTCTCCCCCACAATTACTGATTTTCCATAACTCCCGTATTACTTGGAATTTTTTATTGAAATTCAAAAAAATTCCTCCAGTTAGTGATTATAAGTCCGTATGCCAAGTTTCATAATGATAGGCCGATTTAACAGCAAGTTATAGCCATATATGAATATATGACAAGTTACCGCAGCTGTTGTTGTTGTTACTGCTTTGCACAAGCACACAGACACACACATAACACGCATAATTATTCAACACATATGTACAGAGTATTTCAAAGTCGGGACACCCGACTTTAGCTTTTCTACTTGCTGATTTTATATATACACTACGTCGTTCCCATAGTCTTCCAATATCTTTACAAATCCTGATTTACCTGCCCCTCAGCTCACCCGCCTGGTACCACCACGCCTGTTTGCTTTGGCGCCCAGAGATGGTACGCGTTGCGGCTGCTTGGCAACAGTGGGGCCAGAGTTACCACCGTCGCCGTCGCCAACGCGCTAAATACCGCGTCGAACTGGCTTCGGTGCGAAGAGCACTTTAGCCGGCTTGCACAGCTCCAGTTCACTGCCGGGGCGCACCGCTAGACAAAGTTGGATCTCGACCAGGGATGCCTCGGTCCAGACGCTGTGTGAGAGGAGTATGGTCGTGCGCAGGCGCACATTCGTTTCGTGCTCCCCTTGCTCCGTCATAATGGGTTTAAAGTCCGACATCTTCGGCACAACCGTGTGCATGTGCTGGTCCGGATACTTGATCTTAATGCGCATGTCGGCCTTTTGGGACTTCAGCAGATTGTCGATTTCAGCCACAAATGGCACTGCTGCAATGAGACCGGCCGTAACTTTGATAACGTTATCCTGCGACTGCAGTGGGCAGGGCTCCAAAATATTTGCGACACAGCGTCGGATTTTGTCATTGGCCGGCGGCAGAGCCAATGGTGGTGCATTTTGAACGAGGGGCAGTATCTCCCTGAACACTCGACCCGGTTTTGGATCTGTAATGGCATCCAGTTTGGACAGTAGAGTTCTTGTAAAGCTATCAGGCTGTGCATTGGGCGGCTGTCCCGGTTGTGATGAAGATCCCGGCTTCTGCTCCTCTCCATCACTCTCATTACTCTTTATAAAGCTGCTTATGTCGCCGGCAGTCTGTAGAAGCATTTGGCAAGGACCCAGAGCGCTCTGTGAACGATCCCGCACGACCAGCACCAGATGTAGGGCACAAGCGCGCAATCGCAGCTGCTTCACCTGCAATATGTCGCCATAGTTGAGGCCCGAAAACGTGTGCTGCAGCTTCAGACAGTTTCGGACGAGTGCCGCAAGCGACTCCTTAAGGGGAACACGACTACGCTGCGTGGTCGCGCAGCGCTGCATCTGTTCGATTTGGATCTGTGCAGAGAGGAAGGTCTCCAGAAAATTCGACGGTCCATACATGTCCGCATCAATAGCCCCCAAGCGCTGGAAAACAGCAAACAAAATAATATCTATTATAAGAATGTGTGCCTGAAATATAATTTTTCATTTACATTGTTTAACAAAACCGATTTAGGACTGCTTACTTAAACAAAAACAGCAATTATACTGTTATTATACAATTATACTGTTATTATACCGTTATAAATTTAAGCTCGGTGCCATGTAAATTAAATTAATACTTGCTCAGTTAAGATATAGGCAATGTATCGATACACGTGGAGTGTTCTAAGAGTATTTTAGGAAAATGTTACTTTTGGGAGAAAGTTGGGCTCAGTTTTGAGTACTTGAATAATACTTTTAAGATCAGAGGGTATGGGTATTTATTTTATTAGACAAATAAAAGCGAACACTTTTAGCAATATAAATGGAAATGTTTAGGTTGCATTATCGTCGCATCAAAAAGTGGTCGAAGAAAGTTACTTTTCTTATAGATTTTTAGTTAAATAAAAGTTAAAAATATTTTGGACAAGCAATATGTTACACGGCCGTTTTTTAACCCCCGGTGGCTACTATTTTACAATTTCTTTACAAGTGCAATGTCAGCTACAGCGATGTCCCCATACATCACCTCTACGCTGCTATAAAAGTCAGCAACTTACTTGCAGATTGGACTGGGCCGTTTGCAGTAGCTCCACACGTCCATCGGGCAGGGTGAAGATCTCCTCTATGTGTTTGAGAATCATCTTTAAATAGTCGGCAGAGCTGCCAGCGCCCTTTAGGGCATCGTCGATGCGCTTGGTGGTGGAGGAGGCGCCCTCAATGGGCAGCTGAGGCACTAATTGTGGCATAGAGTCCCGCAAATACGCATAATGACGATGTGTGGCTGGTGGTAGCAAACTGATGATGGGAACCAAATGTTCCGCCGCATTGAAGACCAAGATGAGAACGCACAAATAGGCTGGATCTTCGACATCACGCTCCGGGGTCTCAAAGAAAGGATGCACATAGAGCAGATGGACGGCTACCGCCATCACTAGATGTGGATGCTTCTGTCCAATTTTGCGCATGCAAGCATATGTTGAGTGCCGATCCTGTGGATACTTGGCTAGCACGTCAAGTAATTTCTGCACCACCATTAACAGACATGTCTGGGTGGAGACGCGGCAGGCGCCTAGCATTAGGTGTAGGCCCTCGCGCACATCTACGGAGTAATCTTCTAGAGATCCGAGCATAATCTCCAATTGATCCTCCCGCAGCACAATGTGGCGAGCAATCGCGGTCAAGCTGTAAATGGCCTTTAGACGCACGTCCTCGATCTCATCATTGAACATGTCCACCAAAAAATCCAGACTGGTCACAGCAAAATCTGGACGGGATAGCGCCAACTTACACATGGATGCCACGGCTGCAGTGCGCACCTCCAGAAACTCATCCTCTAGTCCATGAATGAGTGCGCCGCATGCGCCACTCGCTATTATCGAGACGTTTCTTGCATCCAGATGCTCCTGTGGTGCATCATCTGCCCAACGTTTGCCCGACGACCATTCGCCGCTGGACACCAGCCACGCCCCACGCTCATGGGCCGTCCGCTTGCGTCGCAAATTGCTCATTAGCTTCTTGTCCAGGGTCTGATGCAGAAACTCGCTGCTGACGTGCGTCATTCCACCCAGCAGCTCTGCGGCCTGCACCCTAATTTGCAGGGATAGATCACAAAGAGCCTCACAGACCTTGCTAAAGGCTGCATCAATCATGCGCATATCTTCATGCTGACGCTCCGAGGCGACAATGTAGTCTGGATGGCGAATGCCCAGCGTATAGACTAGACGCAGTGCCTCTTTGCGCACGCACTCGTAGTCATCCTTCATGGCCTCGACGGCACGCTTATACAATACAGCTGGCAAGTGGCTGCCACGCTCGCCCAACGTGAGAAGCGCGTGCAACGCTTGTGTCCGCACACCCGAGTCCTGTGAATCAATGTAAAACGCCAGTTTCCGCACATAGTGTCGCTCGCCCTCCATGCAGGTGGCAAAGCGTCCAATCACCAGCATTGCATTCTTTTGTGTGTGTGTTGAGCCCGAACGAAGTTGTTCCTTTGCCAGATGCGCCACTTGCGTGTTATAGGAGAGCGGTAGCAATGGACGTTGTCGTTCCCGCTCCCGCTGTCCGATGCGATAAAGGCACATCATGCCCTGCGCCAGCACCTTCTGAGACGTTTCCTTGCGCAGCAAATAGATGAAATAGTCTATAATGTGGCTCAGGCTCAACTCGGTAGTGCACTCACAGCCCAGGCCAGAGAGAAGCTCCAACAGCTTCACACGGACCGAAGTATCGCTTTCACGGTCCTGCAGCTGATAGAGCTGAAATATTTTTGCTGAGGCTTCCTTTAGCTCCTCAATCGCTACATTCTCGTAGGAAATTTCATCTGTAATTTTAACCAGCACATCGAGCAGCTCCTTCGTCTGACTTGGACTGGTTGTGATGGTGCCGGCAGCAGCGATACCACCGTTGGCGGTGACATTGCTGCTACTGCCACTGCCCAAGGGCATTCCCGATGACGCCACTGCAGCTACCGCCATTGCTGATGTCAGGAAGGGATCCAGACGAGTCAGTACCTGCAGTTTGCTCTCCGGAACTGCGGGTTTTGTTGTCGCTGCCGCTGCGGCGGCGGCCAATGTTTGCAAACGCAGCTTCTTTGGTGGTAGCGCTCCATCGCCAATCGTCTCGACGATGGAGTGTGATTTTTTAATGGCTACTGCCATTGTACAATGTTTCGCTATTGGCTTGTCCCCCAATTAAACGTTTTCAAATTGTTGATTCTCCTTGATGAAATTCAGAATAGTCAGTGTGACCCTAAGTTGAGTGCGGAAAAATAGTTGTCGATTACATTAGAGATGTGACACACAACAGCATCGACTAAAAAGTGGACAGTGTGACCCCAAAAACGATAAAAGAAATACGTTACTTGCAAATATCCCGAAAAGTATTATTCTTTATATAGAATTTTCAGTTTATTGTTTTCTTTATAGTTTTACATCTTATAATTTTTGCTTTTCTTAACACAAAGACGACGACGTTCACAATTATACTCTTTGCATAAAATCATTTCGTCTTTTTCTGCATACTGTTTCGATTTTGACGCTGTCCGTTTCATTTTCTTTTTAATTTAATGCATTGCACGTTGTTGTTATTGTATATGAATTTGTTACTTAATCTTATATTGATTCGCTAAAAATGTTTCAAAATTTAAACTCTATTTTATTTATATGCTTGCACTGTTATAAGTATATAGTTTTGTTTTCCACATATTTTCTGGTTTTTGTTATCGCAATTGTCATTGTTTTTATTGCAATTGTATTTGAATGCAAAATACATACATACATATTTGTATATAAGCATACATGTACATATATGTACTATAGTCATACATATGTACTTACATAATTTTACTAAACGCTTACATCCACATATTAATAAGTTAATTATTTAATTGCAGTTTGGAAAACTCATATTAAAAAACTATTTTTATTTGCGTTTTCGTATTTAGGCCATTGGTTAATTATATACGTAAATTGTTGTTGTTGTTGTTTGGTTATTGCACGATTAATACATACATATTTAAGTTTTGTAATTCAGAATATATACTTTTAATGTCAGTTAAAAATTGTAAGCATTTCATTACGTAGTGGAAAAATATACAAACACACACAAAATTGTCGGACACAAGACTTTTGGGCATAGTGTTAAGACTGCCCTTATATATCAGTATCTCAGCTATGCATTATAAATACATATTATTATTATTATTATTTTGCTTTTGTTAGGAATCACAGTATTGTGCAAATAACATTTTCATATGCCATGAAATACCTTCACTTCATCTTGCATGGATTGATAGAAAAACTTTGAATCTGCTATTCCACTGTTTTATTTCTCTTTTGTTTTCGTTTTTGATCTGTCCAAAAAAGCATATCTCTGTAGATCTTTATTTTCAAAGACTCTGCCAGGCAGTGCGAAAGTGGTCTGTATCTGTATGTTTATCCCTCGATCCGCAACACGGCAAACAAATTCTAGAAAAAATCTTTTGATGCAACTAGTTTGTCGTTTCCATGGGTTTCTTAAAATCGCATTTATTTATATGTATATATATTAGTTGGCTTGGTTAGGCTTGTTTAGCAAGTGTATTAAGAGCTTAAGAAGCACATGAAAAAATAAATATGAATATGCTTGGATCAATTGTGTGACAAATAGCTGAGTCTTTGGAAAGGACAAAAGTGCCTCGGCCCTGCCGAAGAAGATGAATGTTTGTGGTATTTGAGTATGTATGTATGTTCTTATATGTATAAAGGTATAGAATGTTCCTTTGTCATATCTCTGTTATATCTTTTAATATTTTTCATTGACTATTTTGGTTCAGAAATCACAATATCTATGCAAAATCTTATACATATCATCTCTTTATAGCTTCTTGAATGTATACATATATTATTAATACAATATATATGTATGTATATATATATATATTTCTCGTGAACTTTAAATCGTTGTCCTCTACACATGTAAATATAAATATTTTCCATATATATATTTGTATATGTAGTATGGTTTCTTATTTGTTTGCTTATTTTTGTGGATTTTGTGTTCTCTGACCTCCTTTAATGTGTTAGGCGTGTTGTGTTTTATTTTTGATGTGCCAATCCATGTGTGCCGCCTTTCCACTTCCGCCATCTTGAATACTTAAAAGATTAAGTCTCTGTGTTATCAGCTGTTCTAGTCCTAGCCCTAGACCTATTTCCCCTATCCTACTAACCTCGTCTCAATCGTTGGGATATGCGTGTGCAGGTGTTGTGATTTGTTTGCTTTGTTTGTGTTTTTTAGTGGGGTTTTGTTAAAAGTAGGTCCTTGGTCTATTTGTGTGTGGTATTTTTTGTATCCTTGTGAGTTTCGTATTTAGCATAAGGTTTAGGCTTAATAGGATTAGGTGTGTGGGTATTATGAGTATGCATAGAGAAGCAAGGCTATTCGAACTACGCACACAAAGAGCGCTAAGTTTATTTTATAGCTACTAATCAAATAACAGTATTTTGAAAAAAAAAGCAATAAGAAAATCATACACAACGTGTGTTTCTTTCCCTCTTATTTTTGTTATCCTCTAATACTAATGCAAAATTTTACTAAGCCACCCTGTATGTTTAGTTGTTAATTAATTAACGTAGGTAAATAACACAAAACAAGCACAATTTGAAAAACGATTGGCATGCTTATCACGCAGGAGCCAATTCCTAAACACGTTACACGCTAATCCTCTCATCCTCCATCTCTCATCTGCCCGCTCTTTACTCATTCAATGCCACTGATCTGAACTCAGAACTTCTGCAAAATATCGTACAATTTATGTATGTATATATAAATATGTATATGTGTAATTCTTAAATTCCTACGACTCTTTAATAATGAAATATTTTAAATCAAAAGCAATCATAAAATGAGGCCAATTGGTTGGTGTGGAAAAATAAATGGTTTTGTTTTGCTCTTTAATTTCTCATTTATTTATATGTATGTATATAATTTTGTGTTGCATAATAAACTAAAATATGTAGGTAGTTAGGATTTTTGTTTGTGTGTGTACTTTGTTTTTGGTTTCAATTATAAATAAAATCGCATTAACAGAAACTGTGAGAAATTTGACAAGCTGGAGTAAAATTCCTACGTAGCTGTTTGAAAGCAATATGCCTTTTGGTCAGACACGCAAATAGTTTGCATACAAATTTATCGTCTTTGAAAAGTTGGAGAAAATTACACTTGAGAATAGAATTCTTATTCATTTTACTGAACACAACATACTTATGATATTTGACAGATTCGCGTGCAAATTATTTGCCTGTCTGACCGTACCTTAAGTGTTTAGTATAATAAGCATATTTGCACATAAGTGTCATGCCACGCGGAATATTATTGATATTGATATTATTATTATTTTTGTTGAGTTACATATGTCTCCTACAGCAGATATTGTAATTAACTAATTGTTTTACTTAATTAACATAGTTTGGGTCTGTCGGGGGGTGAAGGGAACACAATAATAGTTCACAGATCAAAAAAAAAAGAGTGGTAGGTACATAAAAAAATAGACTTAGTTTAAACATTACACACAAGTTAATTACGCTATGGACGTCTTACAAAAAAATCGTTGCGAGCCTCAGTTGCTCACAAATACTTGCACATGGAACGAATATGAATATGAATACGAATACATAATACACACATACATAACATATATATATCGTAGGTATATATACTATATTATATATATTTTGTAAACTGTGTGAAAAGGTAAGGTGTGCGAGCGAGTGTGGAAATTTGTTATTTATGTGATCTGCTGCATTCATTTAGTTTTCAGCTAGCCCTGGTCTATAATCAAAGTCAATCAGAATCGATTCAACCCGATCGTAGTCATAGTCGTAGTCGTGTCTATCTTGCTTGATTTCTTGCTTCTTTTCTTTAGAATATTTGCTTTGTACAGACGCATTAGGCTGTATGTATGTATATTACATATTGTTTTCGATATTTTGTATATACTATGAATATATATTATATACTCTGTAAATTTAGTTGAAATGCTTCGCATATGCTCGTACAATACTTACATATATGTATTACTTGTTACACATACATAGATCTAGCTGGCATGTATATATAGTACTTATGCATGTGCATATACATAGTTTCTATATAGATGTACATACATATGTATGTAGTCGCTTATGTCTGCTGCATTATGTGTAAAGCGAGTAAAAAAAACTGGCAAAATTTGTGAATATTGTTTAGAGTTTAGAGCGCCTTTTAAGCCTCCTCCTCCCTCCTCGATAGATGGCTGTACAAGCTGGTCGTCAATTGGTTTTGTTTTATTTTTAGCACAGTTAGTATTTTTTGTATTTCTTCTACTATTTGTCATTGTAAAATGAACACATGTCATATATATATATATTTCATTTCATATATATATATATATATATTCACTGATTGCTCAGAATGTAAACAAATCGTCTATATAAAAACAAAATTCAAATTGCAAGTGTAGGCCAACTGAAGAGCTTAATTGTTATTCATCTAAATATCTAGATAGGCATATACATACATATGTGTGTGTGTGTGTAAAAAAGGAAACACAAACGAACGAACATCTCTTACGATCCTCATTCATCATTTATCAGTTATATCAATTATTAACCTCAACGCTTATCAATTCTTCTGTTTAACTCTTCATTATACTTCATGCATTGAAAGAAGGCTGCTTGCAAGTTACGAACATATATAGTTTACATAATAGTTTTTACATTTTTTTTTTTTTAATTTTCCCATAAAAGTTGCTAAGACCAAGCAATGTTTTTTGTTTTTTTTTTTTTGTGTGTTTTTGTTTTCATTGTAAGCAAGAAGAAAAATGAAATGCTTCAAATTCATGCGAGTTCGTTTTTCTTTTAATTTAATTTGAAGGTATAATTTTTTTGTTTTGCATTTCGAGACACTTAAAGCAGTTTTTCGTTAATAGGCGCACGTCGACATACACACACACACAAACACACAGATAAGTAGATTTGCATAATGAACGCTGATGCCTCCCTCCTCCCACCATCCGTTGCTCTCAATCCCCGTTGCTCCACTCCCCTCCACATAACTGCACTCCAGCTATACAGCTCTCCAGCTCTCCGCGACTCGGCTGATCGTGCTTCTGCTGCCTCGCTCTGCCTTTTAGACATAGGTGGCCACCGCGGCTGTGCTCGTCGGCCCGCTCGCTCCATTGCTGCCGCCGGCCGCAGTGCTGTTCTGTGGCGGCGGCTGATGCGCCGCGGCCGTATTGTTCAGAGGCTGTGGGCTGACTGGCGGCTGCAGCTTTCCCGGCACGTACTGGCCAATGAAGGAGCCATCCTCAGTGAATTGTCCTGCAGAAAATACCAATACATACAGCAGTTATTGAAAACAGTTAACAATCTATTTATATTTTGGGTTATTATCAATAGAAGTATGGGTAGACCAGCACCAATTGTTATAAATTATTAAATTAGTCGCGTGATTTTTTATTATTTATAGAGTGCTGCGATCCGTGAAGTTAGTTAAACTGTATTTGTTAGCGCGTGTTATTTTTGGTTGGGGACAGCGCGTAGTTTTAAGGACACTACTTGGTTGCGGTAGAGATAGAGATATGGGGAACTAAGCGGTATAATGGAAAGAGTTCATGCTTTAACTTTACCTCGAGTTGATTTGATAAAAGAATTTTTTATTTATGTTTACATTTGATTCCAAATTATATTGCACTGGCTATGTGAATTATGAAGGACATTACGCAGCCGTTGGTAGATTTCTTTTAAAATCTGCTTCGTATACATATTCATGCTGATGAAAAAAGCAGACTTATGTAGAGTCTCTCGATAGTCTTCTAAATACAAATTTTGTTCAGCACATCTAAAGAACTAAGTATTTGCGAGGTAGCTTCCTATTGATATGAACGCCAAATAAGTTATAGTGATGCGATAGAGTTTCTTAAAAACAGAGACCTTTGGGCAAAGGTTAAACAGAGAGACTTCTCTTTATCGGCCCATTGCAGCTTTCATCCAGGCCAGGCGTTACAAAATCAACACATCTTGTTGCACGAATTTCTATGCAAATTAATTCGTAAGCTTTATGAGGGATGAGGATCGGCACATGCTGCCACAAAAACATAATCATAACAATACTAAATGAAATACTGAATGAAAGGTGAAAACCATTTTTACGATGCAGCTTCTGAAAAGTTCTTACAAGTGGCGATTCATTCTTCTACACAGCGTTCTATAGAAATAAAATAATAATAATAATAATAACAAATAAAAAGACAACATGAGCTTAAATTTACACTTTACATGATATTGTTTATTTTGTTTTCGCTTCCTTTCATTTAGATATAAAAAAGTTTCATTTATATATAGTTTAATATTAAATTAAGCATACATTTTTCGATCTTTCAATTGATTGATTTGTTGTCGGAAAACAAAACGAAATAAAATAACGTTTACAAAGGAAAAAGGAAACTAAAATACAAATAATACACAAACTAAAAAATGCGAAACAGATCAGAACGGAACTAAGTATTCAAAAATACGCTCGTTTATGAAATTTATCAAAGGAGTGGGTGTAGCGGGGTTCTATGCGGAGATTTCAAGTTCATTCTCTTAAAACGAATTATATAAAAAAAAAACAATGCAATACAAGTTTAACTTTAAAAATTAAATTATAATTTATATATTATAGAATTTTAGCTCCTTAAAGCCACAACACATTTATGCATTACATTTAAAATTAAATAGTTAGCTAGATAGCTAGAGAGAGAGAGAGAGAGAGTGTGTGTGTGTGCGTGTGTGTGTTTGTTTGTATGTATGTGTGCAACATAACATATAGAGAGACGGAAAGAGTGAGAAATTATGATGTTTATAAAAATATCAAACACGCAGCTGCTCGTCACACAAAATTTCTTGTCATCTGCCTGTGGGGGGACGGGCGGAGGTCTCCAGGCTTACAAAAGTATTAAATCGTACATACATATATACACATATATATATGTATATGTATTAGACTTATATATAGTTCTATTTGTTTTGTTTATAGCCTTTCTGCTGTGTCGTTGTTGCTGCTTACATTCCATTTAATTTAGTTGTGTTTTGTTTTTCATGTTTGGCAGTTTAGATATAGTTAAAAAAAAAATAAAATTATAATTAAATCTGTCGTTTGTTGGTTTGTTTGTTTGTAAACACTATAAATTAGCTCTAAACTTTGCATTTGCATTTAGAATTTTAGTTTGGGCGCTTGGGGGGTGGCGAGATATTCTTTTTCTTTTCTTTATTTCTTTAAATTATAGTTGTTGTTGTTTTTATGTGATGCAACAAGTATGGTTTGTTGTTGTTATTGTGGTAACTGCTTCATGAATCTGCGCTCTGCTTACAAAGTAAATCAAAGTCCTTTGCGTCCATATTGGCCAATGAAAGAGCCATCTTCGTTCATGCCTGTTGGTTGAGTGTGATTGTGTGTTCGTATTTATCGATTGTTTTCGATTCGAATCGATTCGATTGCGATTGTTTGACGGTTGTTGTTGGAGTTGAAGTGGTGCGTGCCAATTGAGTGGTGTAAATAAGGAAAATAAAAAGAAACATAAATTTAAAGAACGAAATTATAATATAAGTAAATAAATATAGAATATTTTTTATTTAAACAAATGGGTGCAGAACAAAGTGAACGACGACATTAAATGCATTTAACAGAAAACCAAACAACAACAAAAAAAAAGGGACACAAAAAAAGGACAATGGATTCGTCGGAATGGAAGGCGCGCCGCTCATTTTTGTTCATAATTTTCTTGTGAACTTCATTAAGCAAATTCAACGTATCAAAAAATATAACTATATATGCTACCGATCTTCAACCTCCAGGGAGAAACCATGAAATCCTTAATGAACAGAAATCTACTTGAAATTTGTCTCTAACACAAAACCTGTACCTAAATAGAACCTAGTTTTAATTCTGCTAACATTTGTTGTTTTTAGTTCAACTTTTATGTTCCGGAAAGACATTAAAGGATAATTAATATAAAGATTACCTTTCTTAGGCTACGGAAGTTTTTTTTTAATGATGGTCTGTTCATTCGAAAAGCTTTTAAAAATGTGCCCACAAACCTCAAAATAACTTGATCTAATCTTATTTCGAGAGTTATAATTTATTTTTGATATTTGTTAAGATATCTAGAAACAAATTTCTCTCCTAAAAAAAAAAACAACAAAAACAGTAAACGCCCTTTCCATGCAAAGCCGACAATGAAATAATCTTGCTGATGATCATGGCAGGTCAGACCAGACCAGGGCTGGCGCCAGTTAGTTAACTTATAGCTAGGGATGGGTGCTTTTTTTATAGGCAACGTGCAAAACGAGAACAAGTAACGAATAACGGGTAAAAGCAAAGAGCAGTGGAGAAGCGTAGCCAGATCCCTAAACGTGGGTTACCAACAACTTGCCAGCCAAAATTATAGCCGCGATAAAGGAAGGAACACAAAACCAAAAACAAAAAAGCGCGTTACTGCTGCTGCTGCTTCTTCTTTTTCTACCTGATTGCGGATGTGACGTGGACGACGAAGACAACGAGGACGACGACGATGACGACAAAAACAAAAAGTGACTTGATTTGATTTCATTCGCATTGTTTTGGGTGATTTTTTGATATAATTTTTTTGTATTTTTTGTGGGTGATTCGGGGACATCGTTTGCAACTACTGTCTGGGGCCGCCGCTGCTAGGCGGTTGGTTCTCCACGCTGGCTGGTGGCAACCTGTTGGCCAACTTGCGAGCGGCGGCGGCGGCGTGTGCAGCGGCTGTGGCCACAGCTGCTCATCATCATCAACAAAAATAAAAACAATTAGACGAATTAAAAAATAAAATTCATAAAAGGAAAAGAAAAGGAACAATAACAGATACATAAGAGTAGACATTGAAAATGATTGTGCACTGGGCATTGGCGGCGTTATGAATGTAGAAACAAAAACAGATTTCTTGAATTTTGTTTCTATACGCACCTGTATCACCATCGCCGTATTCGGCCATCGAATCGGTATCGCTCTCCACTCCGGGTTTATTCGCTGAACTAACGGATTGGCGACCCGCGCTCTTGTTGTCCAAACTATAGGCGGATGAGAGAAAGAGAGATGGTAATGTGATCGTATATGGATTGTATAAACTAGCTAGTTTCTGCAGCACTTACGGTTGGGAGTATTCGTGGAAGCCGCCCTCGTCGGGATAGTCGCGTCTGCCATTCGCCAGCTCGCGATCGTGCACATCGTACTTGCCGCCTCGATTGCGTCTGATTATGCAGATTATGATAAACAGTATGATGATGAAGGCCAGGGCCAACATCATGCCAATGAACCATCCAGCATTGGCGAGGTTCTCATTAGGCACCTTAATGGGGCCTTCCACGGTATTCGTGTCGATTTCGCTGGTTGCGCTCTCCGTGTAATAGTGACCATCGACAGAGACAACGCGGAACTCGTAAACAGTATCGGGATCGAGGCCAGCTATCTCCTGGTAGTCCTTGTTCTTCTCCGGATCCTCATTGATCCATTCCGTTTCACCCTTGATCCTAAAATGAATTTCATTCGAATTAATAAAGAGCGTTGGAAAAATGTAGAGGCCTTGTGCTTACCTGTATTTGGTGAAAAAGTGAGTGCCTGAATGACCCTCCGTGCTGGGATGCCAATTGACGCGGAACGTGGCCAGGCCATTTTGTGAGGGCAGTTGCTCCCAAGTAAAGCTCGGCACAGCTGGCATAAGCGCCTCTTCGCCCAGGGTGCGTTTCTCAATGTAGTGCCTGCAGATGGAAGAGAACAACAGATGAGAATTATGGATTGCTTTAGATCAGAGCATTTGTTTTGCTTACTCAGTGCCCTCCCCCATTTTTGTGGTGGCAGTGATAGAAATACGGTACTTGGTGTTCGGCTTCAGGCCAGCCATTTTCATACGTGTGATGCGCGGATCAGAGATGTGAGGATCGTATTCACGACGTTCACCTACGAAGCTGCCAGTGACAACCTCATAATAGATCTTATAACCGGTTAACTTTCCATTGGGATTAAGAGGTTTCTTCCAGGTCAGCCAGAATGCAGAGGAGCCCAGTGGATATGCCTCTAGCGACTGTACAGGCGATGGCAAGCCCTCGGGCGTATCAAAATCAATGACGGCACTGGGTGGTCCATTAAAGCGTCCATTGTATGCGAGCACGCGGGCGAAGTTCTTTGAGTACGGCTTGAATTGTGTGACAAGCGCCTGATTTGAATCTCCTTTCACATGGATCTCGCGAAGTCCCTCCTCACCCTCTTTCTCCGTCCAAGTCTGGATCTTGTAGCCCTTGAAATGGCCGCGCACCGATTCGGGACTGACGGGATTCCAGCCCAGGTACGCGGAGGTAGCGGCTGTAACCTGCAGCATGCTGAAGTTGGTGGGCGCCTCCAAGGGTCTATCCTCACCGGAATAGCCAATCACTTCTTCGGCGGCCACATTTGATTCGCCGCGCTCGTTGATGGCCACGACCTTGATGTGATATTTGACAAATGTGGGCTGATCTGTGATCACAATGTTGTTCTGATGCCAATCATAGATGTCTTTGTTCTCCCAGGCGGCTGCAGGTATATCACGCTTCCAGGACACGCGATACTGGAAATTCGGCGCATTGTGTTCAATCTCAGGCATTGGTGTCCAGCTGATAACCAGATTATTTGGTTCGGTACCCTGGCCAACAACATTGTCAGGGTTCTTGTAGGGAACATCTGGTTGTACGGTACACGCATCGCTATGCCCGGATGGCGGCGAGGGTCCGATCTTGTTAAAAGCAATAACTCGGTAGGTATAATTGGCCCAGGGTGACATCTGCACAACAAACGAAAGATCCGTTGAGGGTACCTTCTCGTAGGCCGTGTCCCAGGAAGCTGGCGTGAACGACGTGTTGAACTGAATCGTGTAGTGCAATATGGGCGAACGATTATCGCCCTGAGGCTCCCACGAAATCTCCGCCTTGTCGCCCCGACAATTAATGGGCTTCTTTATTATGGGAGCATTGGGCACATCCTGCACAATTAAATTCGCTTTGGCGGTGGCCGAGTCCAAACGTGTTCGTGCGACACACGTGTACTCGCCCGAGTCCAATTCAATGGTCTTGGCAATAGTTAAAGAATTATCATTGGTCTTGACGAATCGCGGCTGGGCATCGAAGTCAATAATCACTTCATCCTTCCACCACTCAATCTCCAGCTCGAGCGTATCGTCGTGCGCTTCATTGCAACGGAACGTGGCAGATTGTCCGGCGGCTACCTCGTAGTTCTGTGGCTCCTCTGTAATGCGAGTGTGCTCCTTGACATCCAGTGAGCCCTTTGCCGACTTGTTGCCGAACTTGTTGACCGCATAGCACGTGTAATCGCCACGATCTTCGAAAGTCACCTGCTGTATCTCCAGATCACCCGAGGGAAGGACGGTGTAGCGACCGCCAGTTAGCCAACTGGCACCACGGAGCCATTTAACTTGGGGCTTGGGTGCGCCAAAGACGCGGCAGCGCATTGTAATGTTCCGACCATCGACAGTGGCCTCATCGCGTGGTGCCTCTGTTATCTCTGGGGGCAAGGCCAACACATTTAGGTATACATCCTTGTAGACATAGCCCAGGGAGTTGGTGGCATTGCAGCCGTAATTGCCCGTATCCTGCTTGACCAAATCCTTGATGATAATGCGCGTGTTCTCGACTGTACGCCGGGGATTGGGCTCGGCCAGTGCAATAGGTTTTCCATTGTGTATCCATTGAATTGTTGGCTCTGGAGAACCAGCTGCCTCACATTTAAACTCTACGGTTTCCTCTTCGGCAGCGTTTTGAATTTCGGGCTCAATTGTGAAATAGGGTATGGCATTGATTCTTAGATTGATCGAATAGGACTGCGCATTGCCCACGCCGTTCGAGACATCGCAAGTGTAGGTGCCCTCATCGTCGAAGTTCGTCTGACGTATCACTAGCGACTTTCCATAGTGACCTTGGGTAATGCGATCGCTCCACTGTATGGGCCGTCCATTTTTACTCCACACGGTCTGAGGCAATGGTGTGCCGCCATAAATACAAAATAGTTCAACCCGCTTGCCCCGCAATGCTACCTCATTCTTTCTCGTCACATACTGACGCTTGGGCGGATATTTGTTTTGGGAGGCACTGATGCCCATTTGTTTAACGTCTAACATGATTTTGTTGCCCACTTTGTACTCGTTGCGGAATACAGAGGCGGCGGAGCACGCATAGTAGAATTCATCGGAGGCATCGTTGCGCGTCAGATTCGAGAACCAGAGCGTGCCCTCGGGATCGAGTGTCATACGTGAGTCATTGATAGACTTGATACTGGCGTCAATGGACTGTTGGATTAGCCAGTTGACAGTGGGCTTGGGCCAGCCATCGGGCGCCTCGCATTGCAGCGAGAAGGGCTCGCCCTCGTTGGCCTCCACTGTCTTAATGGCCTGATCTCTGAATGCGTTCAATTCGGCCTTGCGGACGAAGACGGAATTTGAGGTAGCCACACCGAACTCATTCTCGGCAAAGCACTGATACTGGCCCAGATCCTCGTCTTTGGGCGACGTGATGACGAGCGTGCCCCGACCAGGTTGTTGCAGCATACGATTGTCATAAGCCTGCCAGTCGAACTTTTTGCCGTTCTTGATCCAGCGATAGCTGCAATAAAAGAAACAACGAAATCGTTTATTAGTGAATGATGAGGGCTTGGTTATGAGAAGCACAGCAATTGACCTCTTATAAGACCTGTGAGACCATCTCTTTTTTTCTTGCTACAAATTTGAATTTGAATCCAAAGGGATAGTGGTGGGTGAGCCGATTGCATAAGCAGTCGGGCTGGTCAGTTGAAAGTTCAACAACCAGCTGCTGTTTCTGTTTCTGTTTCGTTTCATTTCTGTTGCTTGCTCGCTTTTCCTTCAGCTCTCACTTGAGATTACAACACTTAAAAACAATACAAATGATTGACCTATTGCATGACCTGAACAACATTGCGAGAGTGGACCGGGTTGTGGGTTAGGCGGGTTAAGGGAAAGAGGCAAAGAGGCGAAGAGGGGCGTTGAATGCCGTGTTGTAGACGAGAGCCGTTCAAGTAGCACAACAGCAACGAAAAAAGAAGAATTCGTCGTTTAACAAGCTCAAGCAGCGGGCATAATTGACTTGAGGTTTTGAGTGCTGTCGTGCATAGTTACGCACACACGCACACACGCACACTGTGCCACTTAAGCGACCAAGTCCCGCACAGTGCCAACTACATACATAATAATACAAATAACAATAAAAAGTGGACAATAATGAGACGAAAAGCGCGTTCTTTTTTCTTAATTCTTTCCACTGCCGACCGCTCTCCTTACTTCCTTTGCTCTTAATTGCCATTACTTGAAACAAAACAATGGAAAAATGAGCGCATGCCCACATCCTTCCTGCAGACCCCTGGACCTGCAGATCCCCCACCCCCGTCCCACAACGCACGACCCACAGACAACAATATGCCGACAGCACACTTCAATCCACATTTATATTTCTTTCGCTGTTGTTGTTGCAATTGGAAATTAAGAAAGTCGTCATAATTTGTTGAGTTTTTGCTTGGTCCAGAAATGATTATTAAGCGAAATTAAATGTGGAAACCAACTGGCTGGAGCTGGCACTAAACCAGGAAGTTGAACTATATAATTAGAAAGCATGCGCAGATAACGACAATTCACATGCATATAGTAATAGTGTAATGTGAGAAGAGTGCGTTTCAGATAACGGCTTTAACAGAAAAAATTAAATAAACTCATGTAGCCTAGGGACTAGGAGTGTCCACATACCAAGTTTGGTTAATGTGCGCGCAACCGTTTCCGAAATCCAGGCGTTCATCCAGACGGACGGACATGTCTAGATCGAGTTCTCTCGTCATAATGATTCAGAATATACATACTTTATGGAGTCGAAGATGCTTCCTGCTGCCTGTTACATACGTTGCACAAGCCTAATATAACCGTTTTACCCAACGGGTACAGGGTATACAAATATTTAAGCAATCTACAGTTGTACGTGTCATGCTGTCTTTGGGTTTAGCTTGTGGGGATTTGTTTTAGAGAATACCTTTACAGGACAAAACAGACTACATCAGAATTTCAAATTCTACGAACTGTCCTATAAGATTCGATTTAACTCATTCACACTGGCTGCAGAGTTATAATACGAATCAGATACTAATATACAAACTGTGGGCTGTTTGAATTGAAAAAAAAAAAAAAGAAAAGTTGAATGCAGAATTCTTGCTTCTCAAAGATAAGTGCCATTGGATTTTTTTCCCTGTAAGCAGTCGCAAATAAAAGCTACCCCCAAGAGCCCCAGTACCCAGTACTTTATTGAGCTTTAAACCGTTGTTCATTCACATAATGGATTCATCAGCTTAAGCGCTTTATGGCCATGAAATCATTCATTCATTTACGGACTGAGCTTAGACCAATGTGCACTGACAATATGAATATCCGAGTCCAAATCTAGACATAAGCATCGTTGACGACGTCTGTGCCAATGACACATTAAGCCCATTAACCCTCTGTTGCCAGCCACCAACCACTTATTGCCCAAGCACCGCTGTGCGCCACGCCAGACAATAAATTTGGATGATTGACCCCTTTCGCTTCCTTCCCATACGGTCAACTTTCGGGTTGATGGTGGTGGGAGCTGCCTATGGAATGTCTATGGAATGACGCTCGAAGCAGTCAACCGTCCAGGTGTTTCCTTATCTTGCACCGCATATCAAAAACTAAAGTACATTATGCTACAAAATACAAAAACAAAAAACACTAAAAAAAAAGGCGAAAAACTTTAGTGAAATTGCCTTTTGGCATGTTGGCAACAACAATAAGGGCATGAACTGGCCAAGGCACACCAGACAGACAACAGCCTCAAGTTTGCCAAGACAGAGGGAGGGGGAGGGGGAGGGGCTGCGACCCATTTGAAAGTTAAGCGATTTGTGCAATTTTTATGAGTTGTTAAGTTGTCTGCTGAACGAGGAGTGGGTGCAGGGGTGGGGGTGGGCTGGGGAGCAGGCCGAGTAGCTGCACTTTTTGTGTGCCGATAGTTCCGATAGCTAAAGCTTTGGGGTTGACAATCTTTTGTACAAGCAAATGCGATACAAATCTGTATACAAAAACCATTCTGAAGAGCAAAAAGTGGCGGAAACGAAGAGCGATGAAAAGGGAGACGGCAACAACAACGATGGCGATGTTCGTGGAGTTGATGACTCATCAGTAGGCACGCAACGTTATGCTATATTTGTATGTCTATGTCAGTTTGTTGGTATACATGTATATAATATACTTGTATGTGTGTGTGTGTGTGTGTGTGTGTGTGTGCGTTGTGCTTTCTGCATAAGTAGATTGCGGGGTTGCAAAAAAAAATACCATAGCATGCTTTTTTGCGCATTGCTTTACATTCCTGCCTCATACTACAACGAAAATTCCTTTCATCTATGTGTGTGTGTGTGTGTGCGTGTGTACGAAATGTGTGTTTTGCAGGCTTCTACCTAAAACCTAACCCAGTTATATGCCAGTTGACTGACTGCCGTTTGAAGTGTCGGCAAACGAAGAAAACAAAGTAACGAGGCAACCAAAATCAAAACCGCAGCAAATGTTGCCGGCACTTTGGCAAAAAATACAAATAAATAAAATCTAAAGTAAAACAAATGCTAGGATGTGCAAGAAAATTGTTAAGTTGAGCCAAAAACAAAACAGCCAACAATGCTGGCAACAAAGAGGCCCTATCAGCACAGCTGGTAATACGGGGGTTGCTCTTAAAGTTCAATTATCGTAATATTGTTCATTTTTGAAAGGATCTTTCCTTCCTAGTCGAAAAGGCACCTTTTCTAGTAAAACCCTTAAATAAATGAACTGGAATCGCCTTCGGAAACAATTTCCCATTTTTTGTTTAGCTACTTATTTGTTTTTAAACTGGGAATTAAACAAGAAACGTATTTGTTTTCCACAATTACTTGGAGTAGAACAACCCTTTCCGGGTTTTCTGCTCAAAATATAATACGTTTCGTTTCTGGCCTTAACTGTACTTTCTCATTTAAGTTATATTTAGTTCTATTTATTAAATTTTTCCCCCACCAGGTGGATGATTTACAGATTTTTTCTCATGTAATATTATTCAAATTATATATTCCTCTTCTTTTAACTTCTTTCTATTCACATCCCTACTTTTATTTTAACCAACTCGGTCAGATTTCACAAAAAAAGAAATAGATTTAAATCAGACTTTTCTTTTTTAAATTATTGTTTTTCGAAATGATTTTCAAGCAACATACTCGTAGTATTTTGCAAAAGAAATTGCATTACTTTAAGGAACAGAGGCGAGTTCCAGAAGTCTGCGCATCCACCATGCTAGATACAAGTATTAAACTAATTTTGTTGGCTGCTTCCTCACAGGAAACACCAGACTTTAAATGGCCGTGCTATATAATGCTTGAGAGTACGGGGCTGGGCCTGGTGCTTGGTGAGGGGTCGGGGTTTCAAAATGGAATGCGACGGCTAGCAGTCTGTTTTGGCGTCGTTTTGCCGGCATTCTGCTCCAAGCGCCAAGTAAACACGCAGACCTTAACTTGGGCCACCAAGGCAGCTTAAGGGTTGGGCCCCGGGTCGGCGCATTGGCTTAGCCGCCGTCGCCGACTTCGTCAGGATGAGCGTACAACGAAAAGCTTTTATTGTGTGTATGTATTTAACTGCTTAGAAGTGGAGCAGTCGAATGAATTTGTTATAAAAAAAAAAAAAACACACACACACACACCAAGGAGAGAGGGGGAATGGCAATGGGAGGCGACAGATGACGCTGCCTAGCTGCCTGGCAGGCAGCAGGGAGTGCCCGTCAAGTTCGTTTAGTTAGGCAGGCGCGTTGACACTTTGTGCATGTCAAGCGTTCAGTGACATCGGCAGCTAAGAGCTAGGATCTAGCGGTCGTAGCATGCGAGCAAACTGTCGGCGACAGGACCGACAGGCAGCGAGCCACGCAATGCCCGAGCAACCGGAAGTGTCTCCAAGGGTATCAACAACCACGACAATAACAGCAACAACAACAAACCTACGCCCCATAAATAGGACAACGGTAACGGCAACGGTTTGTTGACGTTGTGATCATTTAATTTCCAGCTAGTAATTCCAACATAAAGTGTGGGTATATAGTATAGCAGGTATATTAATGGCCCCTGAGCATGCTAGAAGTTGGCATGCAAAGTCGACAGCAACAGTGACATAATAGTGTAAGTAGCGAAAACAACGCCACAAATAACAAAAAATGAGACCAAAAGTGCACAACTCAATTTGCCGCTATCGCCACTTCACTTCAATTAGCAGCAATACTCGTATAATCAATGCCAACTGGCATTGGGCCTAATGTGGGGCACACAAATGTAGCACGTAAAAAACTCGATTTTAAAGAGTAAATTGACTAAACAAAAATTACACAAGCGCTAGTACAGATATGGCATAATATACATATATGTATATGTTGGTGGGTCTGCCTTTGACATGGCGCCCAACGTGGGGCCGCAAGGTAATTCATGACATTTGTGTTTGAATAAATTGCAGGTGGAGGTGGAGCCTAAACCAATGCTTTGAGCCAGACAGCTAGCATAATCACAAATCGCACTTGAACTCGTGCTGCAT